CAACCAAATTGACAGCATGGTCTAGAACTTAATACCTGAAAGCCCAGCCATTTAATTGCCTTGAAACTGGGCAGGATCAGAACACTATTTGATATTTCACAATTATAACAAGTGACTTTTAAAAGAGAGCTGAGGTAAATTATTTTATGAAGGGTTGTAAAAGTTTAAGTAAATGTCTTGATAAATGAGATCTGACAAATTCTAATTAGAATTTCTCCTGCAAGAAAGGAGGTGGATTTAAGGACAACCTCTCTAATTTTGTGAAAGTCGATATTATCTCTGCTTCCATTTTTTTAAAAAAGCTATCCCTTTAGAAATAATTCATAACAAAACTTTGGCTGTAGTGGAGATGCTGAATCAGGGAAAATACAAGCAGATGAACATACTGTCTTAAGTGTCTTCCAATCAAGATTTTTCCATATGACTAGGCAAAGAATCTAAACAGGGGTGTCCAACCTTAACAACTTTAAGATCTGTGGACTTCAACTCTCAGAATGGCAGGCTGGGGAATTCTGGGAGCTGAAGTCCACAAATCCTGAAGTTGCCAAAGTTGGAAATCCCAGATCTAGATAGAATTTGTAACTATATTTATATGACTATGACTAATACCTGAAGAGGAAGTTTCTACCATCTGCTTCTTCTATGATGAGAAGGTCAGGGATGTTACTGTAGGCAGTGTTCATGAGACCACTACAGACCCGCTCCATAGTTAATTATTTTAAAATATTCAACTGGGGTCTCCAATATATGGATTTAGAATTTGATTTAAATTAGTCCATCAGGACCTATTCTGTTTTTTGTTTAATCTGCTTTGAGTTTTCTCACAAGTACATGATTACATAGGGATAGAAAAAAGAATATTTAGAGTCTCATAAATGTTCTTACTGGTTCTCCTTTTGGGCCAGGAGGTCCAATTGGTCCAATGTCTCCCTTGACCAAAATAAAGATATGTTAGCAAAAAGGACATGCTTTTTCCCCCACTCACCTTTATTACCATAGCCATTTTTAAAAATTAAAAACTTAATGGTGAAACATGCATTTCTTTATCTAACATGGAGGGAGGGAGGGATGAAGGAAGGAAGGAAGGAAGGAAGGAAGGAAGGAAGGAAGGAAGGAA